TTTAACAAAACTCATCTGATTGATAAAGATGATATTCGGAATTAAGTAAATGAACTGGTCTATTAGTCAAAACTTTAGAGATAAGCTTGTTGAAATTAGAACACTGCTAATAGGTCTAAAGTCACTACAGCAAGTAGAATTAATCTTTTTAGAAATTAAAATAGTAGAATTATCAGTAAAATATTTAGGAATAGTAAAACCATACAAAAAAGGCCCTAACAACCTTTTTTTAAGAACAATATTAGTATGATTTAAACTTCAATGTGTATTAAAAATAACTTTTCAGAATCTTGAACTTAAATATTGTAAATATAAACATTTATTTTCACTTGTACTTTCATATATGATTGTCATAGTGTACTTGTTAACATATCATCACTTTTATTTTCACGGAAGCATTAGAGTAAATTTATCAACAAAATATTATTTGTACTTGAACTCTTTTTAGTTAACAAAATATGTAACATATAATTTATGATATGCATATATCGCGATATCTTTTTATAATTTTATTTCTACCTATGCCTCCAAAGATCAACCTACTTGCTCACAACAATTGACGAAGACATATTCCTATTCTTTTAAAACTTCACTTTCACTTATAGCTCCTTTGAACCTCCCATACCTACAGTCCTACAGAAGGTAGATGGGGCTTGAATTAGAAACAAAGCATATATATTAGAATTTGGACCCATAGAACAAAACTTGTATTGCATTTTAACATCTTCTATATTAAAACTTCAGTCATGACATGATATGCACATGCATATATTAACTTTTTAACATTTATATACCACATATAACCTGAACATGAACATGCAAGTTTCTACATGCATGACATTTAAGAGGTTAATGCATGTATGACTTACATACACACAAAAATTTGACATTAGAAAAATCATTCATATAAAATATTTAAATTATCATTTTAAGACTATTAATGAGGTGTAGCTAATGCCAAAAATGTCATATTTAATATGAAATTCTCAAAAATTATATAGATAAAACCAACTATTAATTTTTTAATTTTTTATAATTAAAATGACATGAATGAGATATTCTATAACCTTACAAAGATTTTCTTAATGATTTTGACTGATGAAACCCACACTCTTAATTTGCCCCTAAAACCTTCTTTCTACTCTTATTTCTTCTCTCATTACTGAAAAAATAAACTGATCATTTTATACAAAAACTTATTTTAGTGTTTAGTGCTGTGAAGGTCTGTCATGCAAGTATTTGAATATATAAAAGGAGTTTTGAAAGATTGTTTACATTTCGAAAGATCTTTTCCCTACCTTATAAAAATAAGATAAGATTTATGTTAATATGGAGATACATGTTTCCTATAAAGGCAAGCTCTTATGGTTAATTGCATTCCAAGAGAAGTGAATCTTCTAAGAATACTCTCGATCAAAGTCGTAGCTAAAATTTTTAGGATTTCAAAGTTTAAGTCAAGGATTTGGAAGTTTTAAATTTTAAGATGAGATTGGTTCATATTTAAATAGTTCTTTCTTGAGGCCAAAAGATGAAAAGTAGGGAGCACTGAATTCTAAGATGTACTTTAGTCTATTCCATGGTTGGGCCTTAATGTTTTTAAGCTGAAATTTATTTTTATTTAGGTTGAGATTTTACTAGAATGTTGGGACTTATATTATTCTTGATCACCAGATGAGGATAATGCTTAAGACGTGAGGACTTATAATATATAAATCAATCTTAGAATATATATCTAAGTTGAGACACTATAATATAGTGACTCGACCCTAATATAATGAAATACAAAAATAGTTAGATTGGATTTATCCCTTTAAACCTTTTACGAGATCCAAAAGAAATACCCTACACTACAGGAAATATATATGCCTCGAGTGGAAGGCCAGCTAAACTCCGCCAAGCTCTTTAAAATCATGATTTCAATCTCTATTAAATATAAAATAGGGAAGGCTAGTGTTATTTAAGTTTTTGAAATTTAGAGCTGACATCTAAAGAAAATTTTAAATGGCCCTAGACTTATAAATGATGGTTATGCACCTCAACTAAATGCAATTAAATTTTATTTTTTTATTTATTTCTAATGAAATGCATGCTAGTTGACCATATAAAAATTAGAATGATTTAAAATTTTAAAAAGACTTAGATAATATTTTTTTCTCTAAAAGTTTAGGTCTCCCCTGAGATAAAACAAGCATCATAATAGGTCAGATGGCTCATCCAAACTCACAGACAATAAGTTGTTTAAACAAAAATAGAAATACATGTGATGTACTCCAGTCGGACCGTTTTTTTTTTTAAATTGATTATATTTATATGTTGTTTAATCATGAATTGTATTGGTTATGACCAAAAACAAAATTATTTTCTATGAGAGCCTAATGAAAAATCCAAGAAAATTACATATAAGTAATAAACATAAAAAAGTATGCAATTTCTAAGGACAACTTTCACCCAACTACCAAGATATATAAAAAGTAGGGTAGTGAAGAAAAGTTGTAGTGACTGAAATTCAAATGTGATAGGTTTCACTTAATTATAACTGTTTATAAATGGAGGCAATTTGGCGATGCATTTAAATTACAAATTGAATTCTACTCCTAGAATGATATGCCTAAATGATCCATATGCTCCCAAATGGAGAGCTCAAAGCTGTAATGCTCTCTATTCAACATCGTAGTAACCTATGTGCAAAGGATTTCCATTCTCTCCAAATAGAGAGCTAAGCGCCAAAACACCATCCATATCAGTGTTGCAACGCCATCCAAATTAGCAGCACATAGCCATGCTTTATCAACGCTACAGTGCTCTTAATGCCTCTTTAACACTTAGTACTTTTTCAATTCCAAACTTCAAATCTTATTTAAATTTGTAATAATTATGAATTAAACATGCATATGGAGGTTATAAAATTCTCACAAGTTATATGGCAATGGATATTTTACGCCTAACACCAAATGAAGTTATGATTTATTTGTATGGGGATTTTAATCTAAATAATGATTTTGGCTATCACATATGCAGTATGAACCACCTGTTGACTCTTATAATGGTAATTGAACAAGCTATGAACCATTAATTAAAGAAAAAACCATAACCAATAATTAATGAAAGCAACTGAAGAGCCTCTGAACATCAAAGTTTGTTGAATTTTATATGTCTATTGTGTATCAACTTCTTATTTTTTATGTAAGATGTGTTGCAGTTTGTTTTGTAAGGTTAAATTTTGTATAAATTAGGTAAGTTATTTTATTGTTTTTTAATTTGTAATGTAGGTTTGTGGCGGAATTTATGTTGGAATATAATCGTATCAATCGATCATTTAAATCACTAGCATCAGTAAGGTGGACCCATGATATTTCGACAGTGCCTTCTACTAGGAATTTTTGTGATGGTCAAGACATCATTTTCCAAGCTTTATCCGAGGATAAACACTTATAAATCATCCAACAACATTCGGCTAGTTCGAATTCATTTCAAGCTAGGGTTTTGCTTGCCAAATGTGTACCATATATGTGTTGGTTGTGGGCAAATATACATCTTGATTCCTATCAAAACCGCAATATTCGCTTCATAAATGAGTTGGATCATACAGTCCATTGGATATAGTAAAGTCAATCCCTCAACTTTAAGACTGAGCGAGGGTGTAATGAAAAAATTATTAACTTGATGCAAAATGAGATAAAAAGTGCAAAGTCACTAATACTTCTTAAATTTCTTTAAATGAAAAAATTTAGGGTCAAATAATTATAGTTAAAATTTAATAATAATATTTTTAAATTTCTTCATTTATACTCATTTCAAAATAAATTAAAAAAATATCAAATTCTTCCAACCATTTTTTTTTATCAAAATATTTTTCAATACCCCAATGACTAAAATAATACAATTTATCTTACGAACTCTTAAAACCTAATATATAAATCATAGAACAACAGTTTATTCAAATGTCGGTAGCGAATTCCTTTTCCATTCCATTCAACCCTTTCTAGCTTTATCCAAAGCTCTGTCTTTCTCTCTCCATAATTTTTTATTTGTTGGGGAACTCTCTCTGTCTCAGAATTTCAGGACCACGCTTCAAAAGTAATACCATTTATTGACGAACACTGGTACGGTGCAGGGCTTTTCAGGGTTTTAGGGGGCGTGAGCGTCATATTTAAATAAAAATAGAGCAAAATTCCTGATTTTTTTCTTTAAAATATAATAAAAAAACACTATATCAAATCTACATTTTTATAATAAAATCATTATTTACATAATTAATATATTTTAAGTATAAATCAATGTGTCATTGATGTACCACATTCATGCATTTCACCAATCTTCTTCAGTTCTTCTGTTTCTGAGATTCTTCATCAGCACATGCGAAGAAAATCTACACACTAAATTAATTTATGAGAATAAAAATCATTGATTTCTGTCAAAATTGTATGTAAAATGATTGTAGTTAAGCAAATCATGCATTTATATGAGATCATCGCTAACTGGAGAAAGAATTTGCTCGTGGAAGGAAAAAATAGAATGAGAAAAGCTGCGAATCAAATAGAAATCACTGAGAACTGAGCGCATTGAGACTGTAAGAGACGGATGAAAGTTAAGGAAATTAAATTGAAAAGACTGCATTGATTAAAATTAAAATGTAAGAAGTAAAAGAAGAAGAAAACAACCCTTCATTCCACCCCTTAAATTTTCTCTTCCCAGAATATCGTCTTTCTATACAGGAGCAAATTAAAGAAATTACATTTCTCTGTTTCACACTAAAAACCCTAATTCGAAATCCCACAAACTCAGTAAACCAGCAGATTGATAAAATCTCCTCGCGCCATCTTCTGAAACCAAAACGAAGAATGCCGAGAAGATTAAGAGAAACCAAGCCAAAGAAAACAAAAGACCAGATCCCTCTGTTGCACGCACCCGGTACGTAAGTAAAAGGACAGTAGCAAGTAAGAAAATTAAAAAAAAAAAAAGAGGTAGTAATTAACGATAGTGAAGTGATTAATTAACAATCAGAGCCAGAGAGCGCCGGCCTCTTTGAGGAGGGGGACGAGGGTTCCATTAATGTGGGAAGCCATGACGCGATCCATGGCGCCGACGAGCTTCCCACCGACGAACACGACGGGGACGGCGGCCGATCCGAGGAGGCGGGTGAGAGCTCGTTCTATCTCCTTCCCGCGAGGGTCCTCATCGAGCTCGTAGACCGTAGGGTTCACCCCCATTCCGCAAAAGAGCCGTTTCACAGCGTGGCACATGCAGCAACTGCTCACACTGAAGATAACCACAGCACTCTCCGCCGCGAGCCGCTCCACCCTCTCCACCGCTGGATCCCACATTCCGGCTCCTCCTCCTCTCCCGGCGGCTGCCGCCGCCGCCATGTAAGCCGCAGCCCACGCCTCTGCCGCCTCGTACTGCATTTTCTCTCGACCACTCGAAGAATATGGATTGAGGAATCGGTGATGGTGGAGGAGGAGGGAAGTTGGGTAGGATTTATAGAAAGGCGAGGGCATTATGGGAAGATCAAATGGGGGTCGTGAGGTGGGGGAGCGCATGCAAAAGGAGAGAGAAGGAAAAAAGGTGGAGACCGCGGCTTTGCTTTGGTTCTGCTTTTTCTCGCAACGCTCCCACGCCACCAACAGACTCTGACGTTTTTGAAACGGTTTTTTCGTATTTCGATTTCCGATTTTTTCGTAGTTGAAAATTAAAGGAATTTGGTTTTTTTTTTTTTATTTGTGGGGGGGAAAAAATAGCAGGCGGTCATCGTCATCATCAGGGTTTGTCTTTCGCAGGCTTTTTCAGGCGGCTGATGCTGCGCGAATGCGGCTGCCTACGTCCTTGTTGTTTGTTGGAGAGGTTGGGAGAAGGCTCTTCTCGTTTACCGGGTCGGTCACCCGATCCACTCATTCAAGCAATTTCTTTTTTAACTTTTTTTTTTTTAAGGTTAATTTATTGAGTTAATTGAATTTATCCAATCTTACATATGAGTTTAATAGAAATATTCATTGCCTAACTTAGAATTTGTTAGGTGATAAAATATTTGTAGCAGTTGTGTGTGATTTATGTTTTATTTTTGAAAAAAAAAATAACCTCAGCTAAAAAACAACGGCAAAAGATAGTAAGGAGAACATAAAAAAAGTTGTAGGAGATAAAATTATTTATATTAAAAAAATATATAAAAAAAACATATAGGGCCAACGTAGTTTAATAATTCACTATATATTTAAAAGTACAAGAATTCATCTTTCCTCACAATTGAATATGATAAGATTATTTGAGAACAAGTATTTGTTTTACTTTACAAGGAGATTACATAAATTAGATATTCACAGGTGAATAGTTAAATCTTAATCGAAAAATATTGGAGTGCTCTTTAGTTCTCTTAGCTTTATACCTTCCCCCTAGAGAATATATTCTTATTTATAGAGTTTTGTTTGTTGGAGAGGTTGGGAGAAGGCTCTTCTCGTTTACCGGGTCGGTCACCCGATCCACTCATTCAAGCAATTTCTTTTTTAACTTTTTTTTTTAAGGTTAATTTATTGAGTTAATTGAATTTATCCAATCTTACATATGAGTTTAATAGAAATATTCATTGCCTAACTTAGAAAATGTTAGGTGATAAAATATTTGTAGCAGTTGTGTGTGATTTATGTTTTAATTTTTGAAAAAAAAAAATAAGCTCAGCTAAAAAAGAACGGCAAAAGACAGTAATAAGAACATAAAAAAAGTTGTAGGAGATAAAATTATTTATCTCTTTAGTTCTCTTAGCTTTATACCTTCCCCCTAGATAATATATTCTTATTTATAGAGTTTTTGTGATGATCGTTTTGTAAATTTCGTTATAATCCATAAGACTCCATCGTACGGTTTAACTTGATCATCTTGATTGTAGATTATCTATTGAACATTTTTAATGATGTCAGAATTGAATGATCTTGAACTCATTAGATTCATTTTATTAAACCACTCGATTTGACTATAAACATGTTATAATTGTAAGTCATTTCGTCGATCAATTAATGTTAAGAGGTCTCCAAACACAACTTAATTACTTGATTAAAGTTTATTTACAGTCGAATCATATCATTTGTAGTGTCAATTAGGTCATCTCGTTTAAACGCTCACTTTAACTATAAATTTACTAAAATTAAAATTTGCATAATCCTGAATTTAATTTCAAAAGTTTCCCTTATAGAGATTGAACAAATCCTCATAATTATTGAATAAATAATATATATATATATATATATATAGTGACGCGCGTGACTCATTCTGGTTGGTCTCTACGCGGTGCTCGACATCCACACAGAATTATTAATCTTGTTTGGGATGATTTTCTTTTTCCTTCTTAAAGTAGCTTTTTAGTATAAAATCGATAAGAAAGACGTATCAAATGAAGCCTTAGAAGTATGAAATTTATTAAAAAGTTATGATTTGTGATTAATGTTAAAATATTTCGTATATGTAAATATATTTAGGTAAAAATTGATATAATTTTTAATGAATATTGTAATATTTAATAAATAATTTAAAATTTTAAAATATTTGAGATTAGATTAATGTTAAAAGCATTTTTTAGAATTTTAAATTTGAGTATTTAAAATTGAATTAAAGATAAGTATAAGCCTTTTAATAATTTAAAGAGTATTTTTTCAATTTGATTAGTTTTATTAATGGCATTATTTAAATGATATAAATGGAGTTTAAACTCTATGCAAGCTTCAATGAAACATAACATATTTTACATAAATAAAAAACGTGAAATATTTTAAAAATAAAACAAAATCCTTGTTAATAAAATAATTAAGAAAAATTCTAATAATTGGTTTTCCCCTCATAAATTTTTATGAATTTAATAATTCATAAATGATTATAGCTAATTTTAAAAAATTATTAAACTTATTTTGTGAAGTAATTATGTCTTAATAAATCTTTGAAATTAATATGATGGAAAGTTAATTATTATTTTCTAAGATTTAATATCAACATACCCTATATTCTAATTAAATGAAATAAAATATAATAAAATCATTTGAAAAAAAAAATTAAATAATTGGAAAACATATAATCACATATTAAAATGTGATTTTAGAGAGTCTAAATTTTCTTTCTTTTTTATTTTTTATTGAATCACATATCATATTTAATTTTTTTCTTTATAACTTTTGGATAGATAGCTGAAGAAAATTTTTATTTTAAATAAGTCTTAACACCCATATATACGATCTGACCGCATAGCTTTACTGGAAAAGTTGTTAAGACCTAATTCTAAATATAAAAATAGTTTGGCTAATCTTACATTTACATTAAGACCAAACGTCATGAATTTCAAAATTCGTTTGGGACGGTTTTTTTACTGCTTTCTAAAACGGAGTTTTAATACAATTTTTTTTATTTTTGTACTAAAACTTCGTTTTATAAAGCAATAAAAAAGCCGTCCCAAACGAAGCCCTTGTTAAGTTTATTTGACTCTCCCTTCCAAGCAGAATTACAAGGTCAATCGTTAGACTTTTTTTTTATGAAGCTTTAAATTAAAATTCTTACCAAGATCAGTCTTTGGATTAGACTTAGGCTTCGTTTGAGAAGGTTTTCTTACTAAGTACAAAAATGCTTTAAGAAGCGGTAAGAAATCCATCCCAAGCAAAGCCTTAGGTTTAAGATTTTATCATTGTTGCGTCCTGGAATATTCGCGGCGATAGACAAATATAAAGTTTAATGTCTTAGCTTTGTACAAAGATCTAGCACATAAAAGAGAGGAGTGTAGCGTTCATAAGAGACACCAAAATTTTTAAGTGAAAATCCCTAGCTAGAAAGGCGAATAAATTATAGGGTCTGACCCAATTTGAATGTATCAATTAGTTTTTACAATATTTTTTTTTTCTTTTTGAGATGCTATATATTATTCTTCCTGAGACACTTCTTTAAAAACAAATCCCTCTTTTAAACCCAAATCTGTATCAATTATTTGATCCCATATCAAAATTTTATTTCTAACTTTCAAAATAATACACCACTTTTGTTACTTTCTTTAATTTGATTTAGGCTTCGTTTGGGACGGCTTTTTTATTGCTTTTTAAAACGGAGTTGTAGTACAAATTTTTTAATTTTTGCACTAAAACTTCGTTTTCAGAAGTAATAAAAAAGCCGTCCCAAACGAAGCCTTAGTCTTTGCTTATTTCATTCAACTTAATTTTATAATCTATAATAATTTCTTTTTACCATATCTAATTAAGACTTCTTTTATAACAACTTTTTTTTTTCTGCTTTCGAAAATAATTTTTAATAAAAAAAATTTTTGAACCAGAAAAAATAAAAAATTGATTTGAAAAGCAGTAAAAAAGTTGTCCAAACTGAAACCTAAATAAATAAGAATATTCACGCCTTCTTTATTACTATTGTAACTCTAGAAAATAAAGTTTAGATAATATATTATTCCTTTTATCCGTTAAATAATATGATATTTAAATACCAAATTTAAGCCTATCAAATAGTCTCATCTTAGTGAATAGACGTTTAAATAATAAAATTAAATAAATTAAATTTTTTATTTTTAAAATGCTGGATTAACTTAATATAAATTACTTTCATAAGCTAGAATTTGGGTTAATTATCACCTTAATAAGGAGCATTGCTCATCATTTCAATGAAAGGAGTGGCACTTTCCATGGAACAATCATAATCATTTTTGCATGCTTGTGTCCCCAAAGCACGTACCTCGACCTACTTATTAATCGTGTCTCCTAACAGGTCAACAGTTCCTCATGCTTGATCTCCTCACCATGATTGTTCAATGATGGTGGGCCATCTTGCTTTGCAAATTTGGCTTTTCATCAAAATCATCCAATGCAAAATCAAGTGTTTTACTCCAAGCCATGTGTCGCAAAACCACTCTAGCTATCGTGTTGATTAGGTCCCTCAAATTAGAGACAAACAAGCTTTGTGGGATCAGGTGCTTTACCGACACGATTAATTATATTTGGCATTGACACAATTATGGCAATCCATCAAGCAGGTTAAGAGCAATGGGGCCACAAAGTTTCTACCAACTGTGTTCATGAGATGAAATAAAAGGGGAGTGGAAAAGCACATGCAAGCCCTTTGTAATTTTGGATTGCAAGTAAAGGCAAAACTCATGAGCAAAGATGAGATGGTGGGGGAGACATTAGTGATCTTAAGTGGTTTAGTATTAGCAGATATTACATATTAACAATTGTGTATTTACAGTTTTACCAACACTGTACATATATATACTCACACTTGTATCAATTACTGATTATCTGATTCAATAAAATACTTTTCCTTCTTCTCTGTCGTTTGGCTGTGCTCGCCGGCTTCTCTATTCAAGAAGCATCTTTCTCATGGTATCAGAGCTAGGAATGGGGGATCAAGCCTCAGCCAACTCAATCCCTCCCTCCTCCTCTACGATCCAAGCGGACACCTCTGCCGATTCTCTTCCTATCCCTCAAGCCCTAAAGTTTCTTGTCTCCAATATCAAGAACTTAGCCACTCACCATCTCACGGTAGAGAACTACCCAATCTGGCGCACGCAAATCCATCAACAATTTGCGGCAAATGGGTATTCCGGCTATCTAACAGGCGCAACTCCAGCACCAGCCGATCAGTCCACCGTAGCATATTCCAAATGGCAGCACATCGACAACAATCTTCTTGCGGCCCTTTTCTCCACTATCTCGCAAGCTATTCTTCCCTACATCATCACCTCAACCACCACCGCAGAGGCCTGGGCCATTCTTGAAAGGCGTCTCCAACCAACAAGTCGTTCACGAGTTATGCAACTAAAGAACGAACTCTACCGGATAACCTTGAAGGATCAGACGCTCGAGCAATATCTAACGCGAATCAAATCGATTGTTGACAATATCTCTGCCTCCGGCTCAAAAATCGAACCGGAAGACATCATGCTACACATTCTGAATGGACTGCCACCCACCTTCAACTCGTTCAAATCCACGATAAGAAATTCTCTCCTTCCCATTGATTTGGATACCTTTTACTCGATGCTTTGCGATGAAGAAATTCATCTTCGCAAGAACAGCAGCTCGAAGTGCAACAAACCTCATTACCGACCGCCCTATACGCGCCGTCGAACAATCAAGCTCGCGGGAAGCCATCTCTTCGTTTCTTCAAGAACAAGAATCCGATCAGTTCTTCCTCTCCCGCGACATCAGTCAATAATGCTAACACCTCTACCCGGCCGACCTGTCAAATATGTGGCAAACTCGGTCACATAGCCCTCAACTGTTGGCATCGATCAAACTACAAATACGCTCCTACGGACACTCGTCAACCCCGTGCTCTTCTTGCCAATCCACCATCTGCATCCACTCAAGACTGGGTCTTAGATTCAGGTGCCTCCACGCACCTCACATCGGACGCGAATAATCTGTTCCATCCCACGGCTTACTCCGGCTCGGACTCGGTCTCCACAGCCAATGGCTCTACCATGCCGATCCACAACACCGGGCAAGGCCTCCTACCGCTTCCCGACACCTCTCGTAAGCTCTTCCTACGAAATCTCTTTCATGTCCCAGCTTTAACGCACAACCTCCTCTCGGTATCAAAACTAACTAAAGACAACTCTATTTCGATTTCATTTGATGCTAATGGATTTGTTATTAAGGATATCCAGGACAACCGCCAGCTTCTTCATGGTCGTCTTCATAACGGTCTATATCAAATTCATCTCTCACCGGCTACCCAACATACAGCCCTCACAGCTACCACACCGACAGCTCGCCTTTGGCATACGCGGCTTGGGCATCCAAGCTCTCAAGTGATTACTACTTTAGCAAAACGGTTCTCTGAAATTCCAATTGTACCTAACTCTTTTTCTTGCGTTTCTTGTAACTTGGCAAAAAGCCACAAACTAGTATTTAATAAAATTGAGTGCATGACCTCTCATCCATTTGAGTTGATTCACACTGATGTCTGGGGTCCAGCTCTTCTGCCCTCGGTTGAAGGATACCGTTATATATCATTTTTATTGACGATCACACACGATACTCTTGGCTCTATTTAATGCATTCCAAACAAGAAGCACTAACTAAATTTAAATCTTTTTGTGTCTTAATCAAAAATACATTCAATCAGACACCAAAGATTCTTCGATCGGATGGAGGCGGGGAGTTTACCGGTAACCTGTTCAAACATTACCTTCATGAGAACGGCATCCTACAACAGCTATCTTGTCCTCATATGCCAGAACAAAATGGCGTCGCTGAACGCAAGCATCGCCACCTCCTAGAACTAACACGAGCATTACTCCACGACTCCAGCGTTCCGCACAAATTCTGGGCTGATGCTCTCTCCACGGCACACTACCTGGTAAACCATCTTCCCTCCACCGCCATTCATAATCAGATTCCCTCGCAGGCTCTACACGGCAAGCCGCCTACTTACAACCATCTTCGGACCTTTGGCTGTCTTTGCTTCCCGTGGCTCAAACCATATTCGCCGGACAAACTCTCTCCAAGGTTCGCAGAATGTGTCTTCTTGGGCTATTCTCCATTCCACAAAGGGTACAGATGCTACAACATTTTTAGAAATCGCACATACATCTCCCGTCATGTGGTGTTCTATGAACAAAACTTTCCATTTAAAACATCTACCTCTACCGCCCCAACGGTTGAACAAGCTTCTTCGTCAGCTGCCTCACCCCTCCTTCTCCCGCCGACCACGATTATGCCCATTCCCACGGCCCAGCACAACAATAATCCTGAAATCTCCACTGCCACACCAAACCAAGCCCCTAGCCAATTTGTTTCGCCAACTCACATTTCTCCTACTCGCACACCTAGTCAGGCCTCCCAAGACCGCAGTAATCAGCATCAGCTCAAACCCACTCATCAGATGCAAACAAGACTCAAATCCGGGATCATTAAACCCAAGCAAATTTTTAATCTCCTGACCCATCACATACCCAACAACACACCCACCACATTCAATCAGGCATCCAAATATGATCACTGGAGGAAAGACATGGCGGATGAGATATCCGCTCTAAAAAAAAAAAATTATTCATATTATAAAAATAAATATATAAAAAATAAATATTATCTACTAAAAAAATAAATATTATTCATATTAAAAAAATAAATATTATCTACTGAGAAATCCTTCATGATTTCGATCTTCCTTCCTTATAATTCCGTCTTAAAGGGTCATTCACTCACACTCGTTTATTTGGATGAAAAAGAATATAAGATAAATGCACTTACAAAGAGCCATGTTTTATTTAGTTCATTATACACAAAATAAGTTCTTTATATCTAAGAAATTCCCTATTTGTAGGAAATATAGGGACAACCCAAAAAGACACAAATAATAGTTCAAAACTACTTCCATATCCATGCATCTCACCAAATTCATGCCTAACATTATTATAAAAACTATAATAAAACTCAATAACATACAATCTCATTATTGTCCATAACATAAGAAATGACTCTCTCAATTCAATATAACCTAACACATACTCTTGAAAGAAAGAAAAAAATAATATAAAAACAGTCTTCAAAAATAGCATTTCTCCATATCAGTCCTTTCTATAATCATGATCAATATTTTTCAAAAGTTTAAAATAGAACAAGTCCACAAACAAACTTTGCCACATATATGATCTCCATGTTTAATCTTCTTTCCATAGTACATCACGATGTATTGAATTCTCAAACACAAATAATTCCATGATGTATTAAAGTAACAAAAAACCTAATTCCAAAAGTAACATTAATTTGCCTTTATAATAATACAAGAGACTCCCTATCTATAGAAATATACTGAAGCAATCAAAAGACATAAATAGATATTCGAATATATTACTATATTCATACATACCACCATGTTTAATTATATTCACCATCAAGCTCAATAATATAAATCCCCATATGATCAAATACAATATATGATGTGACCTTACATATATAAACCCAAAATCTCACATGAATCAATTATCTAATCTCAACTCTTTTCTAATGATGTTAACTTTAATTACCTATAAATTATTTGATGTGCAACAACTTGTCAAAATAATAAGGCTTCGTTTGGAATTACTTTTTTTTTTCTATTTTGTGAAACTGATTTTTAGTACAAAAATCTATCAAAAGCAAGAAAAAAATAGTGGTTCAAAATTGTCTCAAACGAAGCCTAAGCCACATTTGATTTAGGGTGACATACATGTAAATATTTTGCTCATGCACAACACCCTAATTTGTCATGATGGGGTACATCTTATATAATGAGAACAAAGGTATACTAACATAATGACACACGCAACACAACTACGGGTGCAAATGAGTGGAATCGAGCTCGAGCCAGAGAGCGTTGAAGTCTAGCCCGACTACCAAATACCGAGCTGAAGTAAGAAAAGCTAATAGGACTTTTCTTTCGCCCCTCAAAAAATAAGTTTTGTTTGGGGCGGTTTTCATATTGCTTCTTAAAGCAACTTTAATATAAAAATCGATTGAGTAATGCAAACTATTCTGCAGTATTAACATAAAAGTGTAGACTTGTTGCTTCCACTTTGACAATAAGCCCAACTATTCTGCACTTCCATTAAAGCAGCAGCTGAGTGATGCAAGCCAGTAAGGTTGGCTGAGCATATAAAGTCTGTTTAGAGCTGTTTTCTCATAATTTTTTTTTAAAAAAAAATTATTATATTTCTGATCAGCTACATTTTTTTTTTTACAATTTTTTATAATTAGACATACTAAAATATGATAACTAAAATAAAATAATTGTCTGATAAAAAATTATGACATAACTCAGGCTTCATTTGAGACAACTTTTTGACTGCTTCTTAAATCAACTTTCTAATATAGATATTTCAATTTTTGTAATAAAAGCTTACTTTAAGAAGCAATAAGAAAACTTTCTCAAACAAAAACTGAATTTTTAAAAAATTATTTTCCCCGCAATCATTCTACAACTATTTTTACACCTAAGTTAGGAACTTTTATTACATCCGGTGAACATGCGCTCCTCTACGTTCGGTTTTAGACCAAAACAGTGCAATACCGAGTTTTTTTAAAAAACTCGGTACAACTCGGTACTCGGTACTCGGTATTGCGCTGTTTTGGTCTAAAACCGAACGTAGAGGAGCGTACGTTCACTGGATAAAATAAAAGTTCCTAAGTTAGACAGACAACAACAGCAGAATGGGCAAATCAAATATGAGCCGTCTCCTGCATAAAATTAAGGAAAGAACTGAAAGGGTCTGTGACAATTTTTTTAATTTAGAACAGCCCAGTCAGGATTGGGACATTCATAGCTCCAGTTAGGTCCTGAGTATCGCATACAGTGCAGCCAAAGGCCTTCTTCATCTCTACCATAGCTGCAAGCAGCAGTAGTTATTAGTAATAGTGCCAAAAATGGCAAAAGACTAAACTATGGAACTGCAATAGATAAAGCTTCAAAATTCAAGTAAAATTTTGTATTTATAGGAAACTTGGTGTTTTACAATCATCTGTACCATATTGTTTATGGTCTTCACCATTTATTAAAGTATTAGAGTAACTTGCACTTCTCTTCCTCTGTTTGATCAAATATCACACATTGGTTCTAAAGTTTGAAAAATCTCACAACACTATCCCAAAGGGTGGAACTATGTACTGCTAAGGGGGGCCAATTGCCCTTAAAAAATTAAAACTCTTAGTATAATAAGGATTATAGATAATTTGTCCCCCATGAATTTTATTTTTTGCCCCAAGCCGACATTTTTCCCCTCAAAAAATAGAAAAGCCTCTTGGCCTCCAGCTATTTTCATCCGATTATGTTGAACTTTTCTAACATTAACAAACAAGCCTATGAAAAACGATTATGTGCAAAATAAATTATTTTTTGCACCCTTATACATTTTTATTTTTATTTTTATAAGTTTGTCACTTGTCCCCCTGTAAACTAAGGTTGGTTCCGCCCTTGCACTACCCTTCCCTTTAAAAAATAAGATTAACTACTGAAATATTGATCAATCTGTTAATTCATTCAAAATGAAAGATGTGAATATTTGATATCTATTTAACTGTATGAAGTCCACCATACGTACTAGATACTTTCTCGTAGCAAATAAAAAGATCTGCAATACATACAAGCTCTTTACGAAGATAGATGTACACGTCACATGCCACTTATGGGTAGATACATAAAGACTTCAGTAAATGCAGTATCATGTAGTCAATTTCAGTCCGTGAAAGAATACATCTACTTGCCTAATTGTAACAATAACGGATACACTACATGAGCCAAAGACTACAACAAAGTGCATGAAGAATACGACAGATTCAAGCTCCCACGGCTTTTGCTGGAGCCCCACTATAAATATTGCATACTATCTATGAACAAATGCCACCGGATCCGCAATATTCATACGAGCGAACATAAGGCATTTAAAAATATTTCAAAGAATGCCCCGTACATGCACCGTAGTTTGTATACACATAGGTACACAAGGGGCAAGTACAATCATAAACATGCATGGGCCCCAGCGAGCGTGTTATTGGTACACACGTGACATCTAAGGATACTGTGTGGGTCAATAAGTGAATTCAAGTTCGAACTCGATCCTTCTATACAGATCAATAGGAGTCGACAAAGTTCGAACCATCAAATAAATATACGGCTGTCCTGATAGGTATATTTGTTTTAACACATTCATATTATGCATTCAAGGTTTATAATTAAGAGAATTCACTAATAAAGGTACAAAGCCTACGAGAAACCTGATCCTCGGTCAACAGCATGTTCGAGTTGACAAGGTTGGGTCCATAAATAAAAATGTCCCCAAACACCCCGATGATGTTCGTGTTGAATAAAAAATCTCAACCGGATGGGTCCATTCCAAATATTTCAAAATGCCATCAGAAACACTCAAAATTCAAAAAATCTCAAAGTCCAAAATATTTAAAATTTATATTCCACTATCAAACACTCAAAGTAAAATTCATCCACCCTCCGCAACAGTTTGCCGAGGTAGATAAACTCGAATATAACTTCAGCCACACAGAGCTAAATGCTAAGTCGAAAATATTACTATGATCCATTTCCAAATAATCTCCTGCCAATAAGGACGTGGTACGTGTCATCTGACCGACAATTTTACCGCCAAATAGCACCGCAGGATAAATGGTTATGACATAGGCCCCTCTGAACCGGGTGATTTTTTCGCCAAATGGCACCACGAAATACCGGTTATGGCCAGCACCAATACGCTCCTTAGTGGCATCAAATCCTTGAGATATGAATTAATATGATATAATCGATAGGGCACAAAGCCCTCTGTTAGCTAAGGTGGATTCAAATTTGTCCCCTTAGACAAACATTCACCCCAGGTATACAAGATCCCTTAGACGAAGCAACCCATGGCTGCCGACAAGGATCCTTCTGTCAGGTTGGGTCGCTACCTCCTCTGACTAAGTAGACTAGGGACCACGATGGAACGGGACGACAGAACCATGGAATCTTGATCGGGTCCATCATCCATTCCCCCACCATCCACTTTAAGTGCAAGATGGTGCAATTTCAAAATTTTAAATATCAAATTTTCAAATCCAACTTTTCAAATCCCTATGCCCATTGCTGCTATTATATGCCAGATAACACGTATTTATACGCATCTGATTGACGACTAGCCTTAATTGAAAGTTCTCTCTCGTGACCGGGAGGGGTAATTAACTATAGGGGCTTGCGCCTATAGGAAACCAGAACTCAGATCATAAAGTCCTCACAAAATGAGGGCGAAATCTATGGATAGTGTCTTATCTACAAACCCATCTGTCTTCCCAAAATTTACCCCGAAACTTAATCCGTTAAAACTCCCTTGCCGAAAAAAAAAACAAACAAAGCGAGCGGAGGCTGGGGCCGAATTTTCGAAGCCCACAAATACCACATGCAAATGGACTACCTCACCATATCAGACAAAGCATTTATATGACATATTAAAAATCATTATTCAACTCAGAATAGTCATCTTTTGTTAAGACTGTTAACAGATCAGGTGGACCGAAACCCGAATCAAATCCAAATAACTTTTTGATCGACTAAATTTTATATTGGATCAGAATCGACCAGGATCTGATTCATGACTATGTCAGGTCAGATATCAAATCAAATTTCAGGTCAACCTAGAAGTGGCTAAACTCCTATAACAAGGAGAAAGATAACACACTATTGAAGTCTATTTTAAAATTTTTGAAAGAGATTTACTTCTTGATGATCTAAACTTTTTTGATGTTAATAGAATTATCTTGATCATAGCAATACACCAAAAGATCCATGAATTGATAATTCACGTCCATGCATACAAATACAAGTAATTATGACTTAACTGTTATGTCCATACAATATAAATATTATCAAGCTAATTGTCCCAAAAATAAAAATATCACCATCATATACCTTGCAAGATTCTTCATTAATCAGAAACGATACAAGAAAATTTTCGTAGCAAAAAGACAAGCAAGAGCAAATGAGCTCTAGAAGGCAACATAACCGACTAGAACATAAAATACAGCAAAAAAAATTTAAATTTTTTCCAACTGGTTCCTCTAACTTACAATGAATTAGGCTTACATATGAGATGCATAAATAAGCTTACAATGGAGGCTAGATCTTAAGGTCTTAACGGGTTAGGCTGAACTCGTCATAACTAGCTCCAACCCACATTGTTATAAGTGAATCAGGTCAAGGGTTTTCAAATCTATAGATCAATTTGCCTATCATGTTAATCAATTCAGATCAGTCATAACTTGACCCATTGACAAACCTTTCAGTGAATTAGGCATGAAATTTAGTCCCCTTTTCTCCAAAATTTTCTAGATCTGAAACTAAAATCATTAAGACTTACTGTATTTTTGCATTTAAAAAGGGATAGATTTGCAGGAACAGTATCATACGGTAATGAAATGTGCAAAGCATCATAACTAGTTAACTAAACACAGATTATAATAGAACTGGAAGTGTGTATACCCTTTAGGAGAAAGACATGGGCAGTTGGTGCACATTGGGTCGATACTGAAATCTACATGATCAACATCTGGATTATGATTCTCACTCATGGTAGAATCAGAAAGTGATGGTTGGTGGTTGCGAATAGAGGCAGCTCCATTAGCACCAGTTCGCCGGGGAGAAAGAGGAATGCCGGTCTTGCAGAGGTATAGATCATCATTAGCTATTGGGTGCCCGCAATGTTGGAGATGAACACGTATCTGCAGCATTTGGATCGAGGCGGTAATCAATAAAGTTTGGGCTTTTTTACAGAAGTTTTGCTCCAAGGATACACTATTAACATATACTTTTCAAATAGAATACAATCAGAAATTTACAGATTTAAATTATTGCATGTTCATGCAAAAAGGTGTATGTGTGCACTATTTAATGGAATAGCTATTATGATGCATCCAGAACTTTTAGGAATAAATGAAAATTTTACATTTATACGGTTGAACATTCACGAGAGCTTTCACTCGGCATCCGCTCACCCACCAGATAAAAAGAAAGAAACAAAAAGCACGTTCGAAGAAAAATTGATGCATAACTTTGCAAGGAAAGGACCTGTGGTTAGGAAATCATTTTTAAATTTGTAAGCAAACTATAGTTGTACAGAATCAAAGGCCTCAATTACTCCCAAAAAGTGTTTTCCTTGATATGAAATTGCGATAACAGAAAAAGTTCTGAAGATTATATAGTTGATACAACAGCTTCGTGAAAAATCAACTGAAATGGATTCTTAAGAAAAAAAACTCTTTTATCGGGCCAGTCAAGTCATCCTCCACTTACCTTCAACGATATTGTCATTTCAAGGAAAACTCCGCCAGCCTTCAACAACATTTCCATTTCAAAGAAAACTCCTCTTTTCAAGCTTATCTGTCGTCTTCAACTTCACATTGTCATCTACTACTCAACAAAACCCTAGTTTTTAGAAGTTTCACTAGGAATCAATTTTCAACTTTTCAAATCAAGGGCAAAAGGTATTTTTGAAATTTTATGCAAGTGTAGCTTTAATTTTGAAGCTCAAATGCATAAAACTATAATTAGAACGTTTTTTGTTGATCTCTTCTGAAACAGTTACGTGTACTATTGATATATAATAGCACTGATTTCATATCGACTCTGAGTATCTTGAACCGTATTTGGCATGGATTTCCATTAGAATCAATCTGTACTTATTTTCTTAGTTGCAAGAATCCCATTCCATTGATTATTAAAACAGATTTAAACTAATACTGTCTTCCATCTATTAATTCTAACCAAAACATTTTCTATAAAATAACTAATATTGACAAATGCATTATCATCGATACTGCATATAGTATAAAGTATAAATATTTTACGTCATATATTTTCAATAAACTGATCATGACTTGTTATGCTCCCCTCATCATTTCTGTAGGTTAATGAAACATTGCTATGGCCTTGATTGGTAATCTCCTTTGCTTTCAGCCACCAAAATCATCATCAATTCATTTAGCTGTTTATTTCATTTGCTATCAGCCTTTTCTTCTAATAGTTTATTTCCATTGAAATTGATTCATAGTTTAGAGTAATTTAATTGGATAACATCTTCTGTACAAACATTCACGTTATTTGACCATTTGGCTGCATCAATGACAATTCCATTCCTCTAATGATATATTATGTTAGAATTGTGCATTGTGTATGTACAAATCGTATACATATGGTTATAAGTTGGATAAGCGATCCAATGGTCGGGATGCTATTAAGAATTTCATTGGGAAGTTATGACAAGTCCGTACCTCACTACCCCTTATATGTACATACTAAAACCTTATCATTAGGTAGTCAAATGCTTAAATACCAGCAGGAATACAGATTATGACTTCGTTTGAGATAGTTTTTTTCTTTCTTTATAAAATGGATTTTTAGTATAAAAATTTTTTGAATTAAAAATTTTTGTACTAAAAAACAGTTTTAGAAAGCAGTAAGAAAGCCGTCCCAAACGAAACCTCTAACTCTAAGAATTCAAGTTGCACGAGCCCTATACAATTGATTTCCTCCTGATCCAAATGGGTTCCAATTAGCTTTATGAAAGGTAAAATGGCACAACTTTATCAATTATCTATCAAGGGGATCCACAATAATTTATTCTCTGAATTATTTACTGAGAACCTTAGTGCAATATTACCTGATGAGTACGGCCAGTAACAGGTTTACATAAGACCACACTATGAGTTCCATTCGTACTGATTCTTAAGAATCTTGTGCATGCAGCCTTTCCCTCCAAAGCATTATGTCTTGGGTCTCCAACCTGCCATAAAGGGAAAAAGAAAGATTTAATTATCCTACATCTGATACTTGGATTTTACAATTCAACGAGACTTGAATGGGACATGCAGAAAAAAAAAAATTTCAGGAAGCAGGGAATAAATGAATTCAAAAGAATAGCCCCTTAATTAAGCCTGACACTAGAGAAAAATTCAGAGATTATGTTGCACTGTGTTGGGAAATACACCAATATTTGATTGGTTCGTTGAAAAAGAAATGCAGAGTAAAAGAAATGCAATGTATTTGAAATATTTTGGAGCTATTAGAATGAGTATAAAATAAATACGTTTTTTTTTTTGCTTGAAGTAAAATAAATGCAATATAAAGTCAATGATGGAGGAGGTCAATGTCCAACGGCAGTAGCTGGCGTCAATGACTGGTGGTGGTGGTGGTAGAGAGTGGATGTTGACGTGTATGGTAGCAGCGAGCGCTGATAACTAGGGGGCAAGCGACGAAAAAAGAAGGACAACGACCGGCTAATTGTGGCGACAACAAGTGGCTGATGAGAGGTGAAAGCCGATCGGGAAGCAGCAAAACTGGCGATAGGTAACTACCACGGCCGAGACAACATTGAAAAACAAATTACAGTGTTTTTAAAACTCATTCAAATCTAATTATTTTCAAATACACTAAAATTGAACTAGATGGTGAATTTCAAATGCTTAAAAATTTTACCCTCATATTTCTTTTACTTCAAGAACACTACTGTTGCCAGGTCCTAAGTCCTAGATGAGAAAAGTTGAGTATTGCGTTAGGTAGTCGACAGCCAGCGTAAAACTTGTCGAATAATCATGACATGAATTCTTTGAAAAATTGTGTTAATGCTAGGGCATCCCCTGGAAGCGACGCGTTGTATGGCCTAAATACAGTGACAAGTGTGCAAGGGCCGCTGCACCGACGCCCGGGTGTAGTGTTAAATAGGCAAGGGTTCCCACATCAAAGACGGATGTGGCCAAAGAAGCTAGTCTATGAAATTAAAATTAGGATAGGAACTTGGAATATAGGGCTCCCTTATAGAAAAATTAATGAAATTAATAAATATTATGATTCATAGGAAGGAAAATATTATGTACATTCAGGAAACTAAATGGATTGGAGAGAAAGCTAAGGAGATTAATAGTTTAGGATATAAACTATGGTATTCGCATTTATATGTGAGAAATGGATTATTTTCTCTTATATACATGCTCGGTTTAAGAGAAAGAAGTAAATGGATTAATTTATTTTTTTAATCAAGACTAAGTTATTGATATATCATCAAAAAATTATCTTGATCGGGCACTAATCTAGAGAAAACAATCACGTTAGAAACTTCAAAAATTAAATCGGAGACCATTTGAACTCCGATTTCAACAAACTTATAGTCGAACTGAACGTCTCAAAATACGAACCCAACAACACCAAATTTGACTCAATCCGAGCCCAAATGAGTCCAAATCAAGGACCCGAAGCA